AGGAATTAGGGTTTAGGGATTATGGTTTAAGGTTTAGGGCTTTTTTGTTCAAGGTTGGGAAGCTTAAAGGATGTCTCTGGAGGTTTCAAGTGCTGGGGCCATGTTGAGAAATGTCCACAACAGCACAACTGCTGCCAAATTAGCACGGAATCAAGATTATCTATTACTTGCCCAGCATCCTTGACCTGAAGTTTGAGTAACTTAGCACGCTGAAAGCAAAACACCAAACCCCCCTAAACCTAACCGCGCTAAACCCGAACATGACCCAGCAAAGCGGCTGTCGTTGCACTACATTGTTGCACCGTATACAGTTTAGGGTTAAGGGTCTAAGATTCAGGGTAGCTTGTCAAAACTATGCTGCTTTCTTGTGGGGGGCAAAAAGGCATTGGGACTGGATCCCGGATGCAGGACCTTCCTAGCAGGACTCCCCACAAATCCTTGAAGAGTGGAAACAATTGCCTCATAATGCTCAGATATCCCTGAGCCCTTACTAAACGGTGCTGAAGAACTTTGAAACCTCTCATCCCACACGCTAAACCCCGTACCCGGAACCCAACCCTAACCCTAAACCCTTAAAGGCTAAGCCCTAAACCCTAAAACCAACACCTCATCTCCATAGCTGTTCCATCCCTTTGGGCGGGCTATGGCAGTTACAGTTTCCTCAAAGAGCCGCTCACTAATCATACGGAGGATCCCACAGGTTGTGGGGTTCAGGGTGCTCAGTATCACCTGGGATCTTAGGGTGTAGGGGCTTATGCTTTCCCCAACCCTAAACCCTAAAACCCCCCCCATGCAGGGTCTTAAGGATCGACTTCTGTAATAACGCCATCCCTAGACCCTCAAGCCCGAAAAACCAGGTTGCTATAATCCCCCTTAAGTAGATAGAATATGGGTTTGGGTATATTATAATAAGATCCCCATATACCCCATATTCTATCAACTTAAGGGGGACTCTAGGATGCAGCGAGAGAAAGAGCCAGTTGCTTAGTAGGCATATGGAGGCTTCCAGGAATGAGAGGTCCCGTTTGCGGGGGTTCCGCTTGCGACCGTCCCTGTAAGAAGGATCATTACATATGGAGGTGTTGCCAAGTTCATGGTCCCCTTTAAGGTACCCAAAATATTTGGGGCTGCATTACAGTGGGGACCCAAAACAAGTGACAAGGATTTTGCAATGCTATTAGTACTCCCATGCTTCATCCATTGCAAGACATCAGCCGCCCTAAGTCCATCCAGCACCCCTCATTCCACCAAATGGCTGCCTTGAAATCCGCTTCGGGCAGTTGTCGGGCGACCTCAAGCGGTAGCTTCGAAAAACCCAGGAGGAAACCGCCAAATGGATGGGATGTTTCACCTGCACAAGGTGCAGTTGGTATACGTAGACTTGGTGGATCCCTAAAGGAACATAGGTTGAGTGAGTGATCTCTAGGCAGGTGCGGGTCCAAAGCTTCAAAAACTTTTAGATGCAGAGATGCAGAGGGGCTGGTCTCAGCGCTTCCTACCCCTAAGCCCTTAGCTTGCTGGCTCTGAGCAGGTTAAGGTTTAGGATTCAGGGGTTTGGGTTTTGGTAGGGGATGAAGAAATAGAGCCCTTCAGCAGTCCCCGAATGATTTCTGATTCCAGACTCTCATAGGTAAATCCATATTCTGTTGGATTCCTTCCCCGTTTAAGGACCGGACCGCCGCTGACAATCCTAGCAACCCTGCCTTCCTGGCCCCGCGGTTTAGTGTTTAGGGTTGATTTAGGGCTTTAGGGTTTAGGGTTTTAGAGTTTAGGGTTTAGGGTTTAGGGTTTACCTCATACCCGCGGAAGCGCGGGAAGCCTCAAGCCCTTACGACCCTTCGAGCCCTCCACCAGCCCAAAGGCACCATGTAGCTGCATAGTATATGGGTGGTTGTCAATATTATGGTCCCTTTTTGGGTACCCTAAATATTAGGGGCCGCATTATAATGGGGACCCAAAAAGGGACCATAATTTTGACAACCACCCATATACCTACAGCCCAAGGGGGCTCCTACACAACTACGTTAGGGCCTAAGTATATACTATATAGCTACATGGACCCTTTGGCAGCCCAATTCCAACATGATACATGCCAGGGCCCCAAATGGGGGTTCTCAAACTTTCTGTCCCCTTAGATACCACCAAATTTATTCGCAAAATGGCTGGCCCTAAACAAACATGGAACCCACAGAAGCCTCTTTTTAGGAGGACTGCAGCCATTCTAAGGCCCCTCTAGTGGGTTCCATGTTGGTTTGGGGGTGTCAGCCAATTACATGAGATCTTTTCGTTTAAGTAACCTACGAGTCCAACTCTTCACAATGAAGGCAACCGCGAAGACACTTGACGAAAGCTACAAGGTCCTGCAATTGTGAAAGTCCACATTTTGAATACCCTTGGCCTTTTGGGTATAGGGCCTAGGGTCCAGGTTCTTGAGAAATCAAAGGCCTCCTTGTTTTGGAGCTGCCTGATATTTGTGGGCATACTAAATTGGCCACTTTAGAATCGCAAAGCATGGTGGGACTTTCCAAGGAAGGCGTCCGCCTAGTTCCATGCAATTACAGGAGGAGAGTCCCATGTGGGGAACTTATGTGTGGGCTGAGCGAGGGGTGCATACTTCTGGAAGCTGTATATTGGGAATAGAAGGCTTGCTCAATCTCCCTGCTTACTAGACAAGTTACACCCTAAAGCCTAAACCCTGGGCTGGGAGCCTGCAGCAAGCTCTTGTACAAACCCCATACACGGCAAGGTCCATAGTTTCGGTCAATCTATTTATGCACTCACCAATGCTCATGTGATCATTGTGCACAACACTAAACCCTAAACCCTACTAGTACTCTCGGACTTCAGGATCAGCATCCTGCACGATTATCCGATGCCATTGGGGCCTTCTTTGTTGGGTTGGGGCGACCCAAAACCCTAAACCCTAAAGCGCGTTTTATTGAAAACCGGAAATGAGCGATAGTCTAAACTCCTAGTATACCCCTTAATAACCTCCATAATACTCCCTTCCCCAAATAACCCTAGACCCTATAAACCTTATATAACTCGCCATATAATCCCCTTTTAGGATTATGGACTATGCGTGGCTCATATGAACCTGGAACAGAGCGAGGCGCCACTTCCTTGTGTATGTGGAAAAAGCGGGACCTGGGCGGCTAATGAAGACCCCTTAGGGTTTGGGGTTTAGGGTTGAGGGTTGAGGGGTTTAGGGTTTAGGGTGATCAATAAACCCCCTCCATTTAAGGGTATTAGGATCCCTATTATAATCCCTATTAAGGGGACGGGGCTTATTAATCAGGGGTCTGAGTTACCCATGAACCCCTTTTGAACAGGGTTTGGGGGTTCGGGGAGGGTTTACGGTTCAGGGTTTAGCGTCCATATTAGGATCTAGGGTTCAGGATCAGCGGTGGTTTCAGGTCTAGTCTCGGGTAGAGGGTTTGGGGCTTAGAAGCCTCAATAACCAAAAAGGAACTTACGAAAACATAGTTTTATCCATTTGCTAGTTACTGTAAGGGGATATAGGTTACAACCTGAGTATAACAGATTGTGCTCCTACCTAGGCCGAGAATCACACGGACAAGAACATCGAGCAGGAAATGGACATGGGCTTGCACAGAGCTTTCAGAGGGAAAATGTGCCCTCCCTACTTGAAGTCTCAGGGGTCTTAGAAAATGAGTTACAAATGCGCTTTTAAGTTCCCTGCTTGGGCCCTGATTGGGGTTGGTCTGCTTCTAACAGCTCGTAATCTAAGCTACCTACTAGGCCTCTGAGTGTTTCCCTAAACCCTAAACCCTAAACCCTAAACAGTTTGAGCCAGGGAGCTGGAACCTCAGCACCGATACCCCAAGGCTTCAAAACGAGGGGGAGATTAGCAAGAATTCTCCTGCTTCCATGTTCTGACCGTTTAGTTTTTGCCGTAGGCTTAAAGGGGCTGCAGGGAAATCCATGGAAGCTTTGGGGAGCAGCCTTTGTGCTCTAGGGCATATATAGGTTTTTAGGTTGGATACTGCGCCCCTAGGTTTCTAGAGAGCTTTTGTCTAAGGTTAGTATGGGCCGTTAACCCTGCGATCCTTATTTACCTACTCTATACCCTATATGTACCCTTAAGGGTGCCTAGAATCACCCTAAAAAGCCTAAGGGCCCATATTAGGGGTCCGCACTTTTGACCTTAAATTTTGGGAAGCTCGGGACGGAAATCCGGAACTTATTTAAGGTTTGGGATTACGGGTTTAGGGTGGCGCCGCCTTCAGAAGTACAACCCAGACCCCCAAAAGGATGATTTCGGGAGCTCTTGGGAAATTCCCTGAACCCTAAACCTTAGGACGACCCCCCACCCTGTAATAGTGGTATAATAGGAATATAAGAGGACCCTACTATATTCCTTATTATCCCTTATAGTCCCTATTACTGGGTGGGGGGTCCACCTAACCCTAAACCCATGATGGGTCCATCAGAGATCGTCTCATTTGACATTGCCGACCAACCCGTAACCCCAAAACTTAATAAAACCCCGCCACAGTTGCCCGCAGCTCCTGCTACTGCTCGTCCTACTAACGATAGTAGTATTGATACTGCGTGATACTAATAACTACTTACTAGTAGTAGTGAAACTCCTGCCTCTACTGTACTATTGCTACTATAGCTCTCTATCTATTTGTTACAACACTGCTGGCATCTGGGATTCTGGCCACTGCTTGGTTGTGAGGAGTTCCCCTCTAAAGGCCTTCACCAATTCTCGACTGGGTTTCGGCTTCAGGCTTGCGTATGGCGGGGCAGAGATTCGGGTTTAGGGTTCAGGGATGCGGATTCAAGGGTCTCGGTATATACATAACACAGTCACACTATGGCATTTCAAGAGACCTGGTCAACAAGCAAGAACATATCTTGTGTCTTCTTCGTAAACCATGGATGAGGCAGCAAGATGCATCAGGGCATTGATTGAGGCTTCCTTGGTTTTGCTTCCATACTGGTTGTACAGGTATGTACCTAGACCCTTCATCAACCACACTATATACCCTAAATAGGGACCATATACCCCGATTTAAACGCTACAAGGAGGGTAATGGTATGTGTTTTCTGCGTGCGTGCTCTTCTCAGACAAGCCGTTCCCGGGCTTCAGAACCAGGGCCGGGAATGTGACTCTGGTTTTGCTTGATAACTTGGGTTACCCTAAGCATCAAAATCCCCTTAAACACATTTATAATATGGTCTTGGGGCCCAAAATCCTTCAAATATGAATCCTTAGATGCTTAGGGTTAGGGTTTAGGGTTCAGGGCCCATCCAAATACGCCAGCAGGCTTGGGATTCGCATGCTAAAGGCTCCAACGCCAGACTCGTCTTCTTTAAGAAGCTCCATATGAGCCATAGTCTAAACTCCTTAAACGAGGATATATATAGGGGATTATATAGGATTTAGGGTTTATGGCTCAGGGTTTAGTTATATAAAGGATTCTAAAGGGGACTACTATGAGGCTTGTCACGGGGGATGCTAGGGGTTTAGACTATGGCTCATATGTTCTTAAACCCACGCACCAGCCAACCCTAAGATGAATCATCAAGCGCGTGCATAGGGCCGGGAGATACATTCCGTGAACTGCTTTGGCCGGAATGACCGTAGTGATACTAAAAACAATAACAGTAATCGTGTTCATGATAATACAAATGATGGTCTTCATAGATAGCTCTAGTAATAGGAGTAGTAGAAGACAATGATAGAAACAACAATACTGGTCAGTAAAACGGTAATACCAAGAGTTGAAAGAACGGCAGTGATCGGGATGACCTCGACATGCAGCGGTTTAAGGTTTAGGGCTTAACCGTTTAGGGCTAAGGCTTTAAGGTTTAGGGTTTAGGGTCCGGGGCCAGGCCGAGAGGCATCAGCATTCTTGGGAGGACCCCGGGAATAGAGGGAAAAAAAGGACATGTACACGCAGTTCAGGGTTGAGGGTTGAGGGCTCAGGTCTACAGTACTGAGGATCATGTAGAGACTACTATTAGGATACAATCCTTAATTCCTCTTGCACCAGAGGGAAGACAAGAGACCATGCAAAATCCCTCGACGTCTGCGCGCGGGTAGTCTTGTCAGCAGCTTCCAAACCATAAACCTCGAGCCCTGAACCACACTAGATTCGGCGGGGTTACATTGGAGGGAGAGCTGTTCAAAGCAGACCTCAGAAGGCCCTGCGTCCTGGCCATAAGAAATGTCTCGTCGTGTTTAGAAGTTAAGAAACCATTGGGGAGAAGTGATGTTGGGTGCATGGCTTGCAAAAAGTCTATGACCTAGTAAGGCGGGCTGAAAAATGCGGTGGAGAGTAGAATATCCTTATTCTCAAGCAGGCGAAATGAATCCTAAACCCTAATCCCTAAACCCCAAACCCGAAATGGTAGTTTCCATTTTCTTTTCCGTCATCCCAATATAATCCCAATATAACCCTAATAATACCCCAATGGGTACCTATACCCCCATATTCCCAAAGCAAGGATTGCCTCACCCTCTGAAGGGTCATCAATATATATATATATATACATACATATGTATATATTCGGGCTATATGGGGGTTGTATAGGGATAATGGCAAAGAGAAAATGAAAACGACTACATTATGATAGGGTTTAGATTTAGGGTCCCTGGCTACTGGCTCACTGGCATATGAGAAGGTACACCTGTAAAAGCCGCCTGGCCGGTAGGTCTGGGTTGAAGTCACTCAGGGTTTGGGGTTCGGGGTTTCGGGTTTAGTTTGGGGTTTCCCAAAGACCCACAAAGACTGACCCCCTCCAGATGCAGCATGATTTGTCTCTAGGCATGTTCCAAAATTTGAGAAATCACATCTGAATCCCTGAATGCACAAGTTCATACCCAGCCTAAATGCAAACACCCTACACTCTTCCACCATCCACCACCTCGTCCTACCATGAAAACTTTCAACTGCTCCCAGACCCAAAATCTCCATTGGGATACGATTTAAAATTGCATTGATATTCCTTACTGGGCTTAGTATAGAAGATCTTCAAAACTGGTTCAAACAATGGCCCAAACTCGCACCCTGCCCCCTAACCCTTCAAGTGCTCCAAAGCCTCCAAACCTCCACAAACTCTAAACCCACAACGGCCTCCTGTAGAGTAGATTTAAAACTGCTCCGGGAGCGGAGAGTGCTTGCTGCTTGGCATCGCCTCAAGGAGTTTTGGCCGGAACAGAGAAACCTAAATAACTACCAATATCTTGAGTTGTCTTCTGAGGCACCCTACAAGCACCCCAATGGTAACTGTTGAGGCCCCTTTAGCATGCAAGCCAATTGGGAAACCTGATGTAGGGCATCCTTGGGGGTGCCAGGTAGTTTTGAACTCCCCTAAGAACTACATACTTTCCCGACAGTCTCTGCGACATAGGCCTTACGGTTTCTTACTGGGGCTTAAGTAGTGGGAAGAAAGGAATCCCATATAATCACTAGAAAACCCCATATAACAGATTCCCTTTGTCCTTACTAAGCCCCAGTAATTTGTAAAGCAAACACGTCTGGCCACGGCTTAGCCCGATGGAGTTACAGACAGTTTAGGGTTTACCCAAGGGCTCCTATGTAGTTCTTTTTGGGGCTTGTAATGGCTTTCTGGTAATGGGTTATAGTATACTACCCCAATAAGGAACTACATAACAGGGCCAAGAAACTAATCAGGAAAGCCGAGTGCACAATTTCAACCAGTGCTATGGAGCGAATTGAAAGCGGAATCCGGAGGTCCGTGCTAAGTTGACTGCACATTGGGATGGATGGAGTTGCACTCCCCAAAAACAACATGGAACGCCTCTCAACCTTGTGGAGACTATAGTCCGTTTACAGGGGAACTACATTACTGGTTGTTAGTACGGAATAAAGGAAAATAATCCCTATAAAGCAATCCCCATATAAACCCTACACCCCAAACCCCTAAACCCTAAACCCTAAACCCCCCCTTACTCGCTGCTAGGCCAGCAAGCATAAGCTTGGTGGAGTGGAGACTTCGTCGTGGAATCTCAAAAGTTAAACGGCCGATAAGGCAGTGCCTTAGTGGTTTAGGGTTAGGATTGGGATGATCATCCCCCCCACCCCGGTAAACAAGCTTAGGATTCTTAACGTTTGAGGGTGTAAGGATCTATGGTTTTGGGGGTTTTAGAGCTTCAAGAGTTGCATCAAGCTATCTGTATGCCCGACAGGAGTCATGTCGTCATGAGACTGGCAGTGTGTGGGGGCTGAATGTTATCAATGACCATCAACAGCCCTGGAAGTAGGGAGCAACCTTCAGACAATCACAAGGAAACCTGGCAACCCTAAACCCTTAACTCGGAAACTTCACTTTTAAGGGTGCCCTCACATCCTACGAAATCTGGCATGATTCTGGGATCCTTCTGAACGGGTATCCTTACGCAACTGCTCCTAGGTAGTCCCTTTTTGGGTTTGTGATGCTGTTGTGGTAGGGGGCCGTGGTATACTACCCAAAAGAAACTACATAGGATGGTCTGGGTATTGTACCAAAATGCTTTCTCCGCTAAGGTGGGCTTCCCCATAACCCAGACCCCTGGGAGGATCTAAAAAACAGATCTCCTATATAGACCCATTATAACCCCTATATAATCCTTATATAATTCCCCCTATGGTTCTAGGGGATCTAATTTTTAGATCCTTTTGGGGGTCTGGGAATTGCACCAAGAAGATTAGGCGAAGCCTTGCACCGCCAAAGCTGGCTCACACGACTTGGGGTTTAGGGTTCAGGGTTTAGGGTGTAGGGTTTAGGGTCTAGGGTTTAGGGTACACAGACAACTATGCAGTGTTTCTTGGGTAGCTGAACCACGTAGGAAGACATTATTCTAGTAGTGCACTATCCCAAGCCCTAAACCCTAAACGAAAAGCCAATTCCGTCTTGCTCTGTGTTGGGGACTCTGGCATCCGTTTTTTTGGGGGGATTAGGGTTCAGGGCGCCTACTCCGAAGTTCAGGGAAATTGTAAGAAAATGTAACTCAGCTACAACTGTGCAATTATGACCCAAGTATAACTTCACCTAGAGACTTAGGGGGCCTGTATTTTATGAGTAAAAGTACTGTTATAAGGGGCATTGTTTACCCTAAACCTGCAACCATTTCGTGCTCACCATACACAGGGGGGGTCAATATAGATCCGAAGATTCTATAATCCTTAGTCCACGTACCGCAAAGGTACTCCTAACCTTACTTCCTAGGCCCTAAACACAAATTCCCTTTAGGAAGCCCCATTCAAAATGCGAGTGAACTGAGCTCGGAACCAGATTAGAAGATCGCCGAGCGCGCGCTCAGCCGTGGCCAATGCCTGCTTGGAGGGTCAGGCGACTTATAAATCAGGGCTTTAATGCCGGGGATAATTAGGGTTTAGGGCTTATACGGGATGTTAACCTACTTAGTAAGTCCCCCTGCCCTTCCACGCTAGCATGGAACCCCAAAGAGACCCTTGGGAAGACTACTGCTTCTTGAAGGCGGCTATATGAGGCTATATGCGGCTATATGGGGTTCTGGGGGTGGGCCTCAGGTTCTTCGATTGTGAGATCCCTTGTCTTGGTTTGCCTAGATTCTTGTAGCCTACAATTCTAGTTTACTTTCCCATTTTATGACGAAAAGTACCCAAGTAGTTGGGCCACTCAGGTTCGGAGGGTTTGCTATAGCGGGCAGGAATTTCGCAACAGCTCGCCCTAAAAGGACTAGGATGTGCTTAGCTTCATACTCTGAGCTCCGCGGAACCCTCACAACCCTACAGTTTCTGCCCAAATCCAAGCGCTGATCACGCCAGCAAAAAGTTCTTGCCTTTTCAGGCCTGCAGCGCCATCCCTTTCCGACCCCTACATCCCTGGTTCCCACATCTTGACGACATGGGAGGTGAGAGATGGGAGAGATCCATCCCAAATAGTGTCAGTGCATGTAGAATTCTACATCGCTGGGGAACTTATCACCTTGCAAGTCTTTGCAATATAGCCCGAGATTCTGCATAGTCATGTAAGCTAGAGTCCAAACTCCTAGTATCCCCCCTAGTGTCCCCTATGTTAGTGACCTAAATAACCCCCTTCATAACCCTTTTTTTACAGAAGTTTAGACTATGGCTCACGTGGTCCCACATTACCAAGACCTGGGCATGCAGACAGCAGGACAGAATCATGCTGGCTACTCTGGATGAATTCGCACAGAAAAGCACCCTGAATCTTAAGCCCTACCTAAACCCCAAACCCTACGAACCCTGAGGGCTAATCACTACACGCTAGACCCTAGGCCCTACACATCGACCCTACCACTTAAACCCCAAACCTTAAACCCCCCAACCCTAAACCCCAAACCCCCCGACCCTAAACCCTAAACCCCCAACCCTAAACCCTAAAACCCCCCAACCCTAAACCCTAAAACCCCCCAACCCTAGACCCTAAACCCTAAACCCCTCGACCCTAAACCCTAAACCCTAAACCCTGAACCCCCCAACCCTAAACCCTAAACCCTAAACCAATGGCCTCGGAGGCCTCCGTGGGACTCTCAGCCTTCGCCCGCTGCGCAGCCAGCAGCGCAGACGCCGCCTGGGGCTTGGTGGATGTTTGGGGCTTAGGGTGTAGGGGTTTAGTGTTTAGGGGTTTAGGGTTTAGGGTTTAGGGTGGGTACTGCCCCTACCCAGTAACAGTCTATATTAGGGGTCCTATTAAGGGCTATATATAACTATATTAAAAATATTATCCAACTGCTACTGAGTGGGGGCAGTACCCAAGGCTTAGGGTTTAGGGCTAAGGATTTAAGGTTTAGGGTTTCGGGCTAAGGATTTAGTGTGTATAGGGTCTAATCAAAGGTCTAAGATTCAATGGTTTAGGGTTAAGTGTTTACGGTTTAGAGCTTAAGGGTTTGGGGGTTTAGGATTCAGGGTTTAAGGGTAGTAGGGCAATCCAATGGACAAGTATGTGGAAAATCAAAGGAATCTGGGGGCTCGTAGGGATATGGGGTCTAGGGTTTAGGGGCTAATTACTTGCAAGGTGTTAGCAGGAAATGAAGCATTGGAAAAGAACATGGAACCGTCAGGTTTAGGGAGAGGAAAAGAAAACGTGAACTAGTGTTCCAGGCTTTCAGCGCCCGGGGAAGGGAGAACAATGGAAACTTCAGTTCGGGTTTAGGCTTCGGAGAAGAAGAAAGGAACTACCAGATTCTTGGGGTGTATATAAGGACAACTAATATCAATTCATTTCTTCATTCCCTACTACTAACGAAGTAAGCTGGTTGGTGGTTTAGCGGTGTACGGTTATACGGATGAGGAGTTTTAGGGTCTACGACTTTAGGATTTACAGCCAAGGGCTTCAGGGGTTAAGGGATACCCCAACTTCGGTTCCAGCTGCAGTCATCTCACTGATGTGCCGTTTCCCCATGAAGGTCCAACCACTCACCTCATAGGGTTTGGGGTCTACGGTTTAGGGTTCCAGGTACAAGTACGCGTAATTATATGGACCGTAGCATCTGGTACCTAAAGACTGCTTAGTTGGATACTTGAACTCCCATATCCTAAACAGAAAACCCTAAACCCTACACAGTGAACCCCAAAACCGAGATCGTAGCCAGTGTAATAAAGGGGCCTGTGTTTGCCAGTATCATGTTGAGGCCTGCTTGAGGTCCCCTGTGTCACAATTTGCTGGTAACCTTGATCCATAATCTTATTGTTTGTGCGCCCTTGGATCACAACATCCCTACACATCTACATGCAATTGCAGGTTCAATTCGATTTTCCATTCTGTTTTCCATGTTCCTTTCCACTTTCCATTTTGTTCTCCGTTATTCGGCAAATATCCTATACCCCCTACACCCTGAACCCTGAAGCCTAAACCCTCGAGCCTACTTAAGAAGGGCAACACCAAAGCCTCGTCAGCTCTTTGCTGCAGCGCGCGGCGCGAGTCCACCCAGACTTCAGGCTTCCTAGGCTCTCGTTTAGGTTTAGGGTTTAGGAGCTTAGGGTTTGGGGCTCAGGCTTTAGGGTTTAGGATCAAGGGCTTAGGGTGTAGCGTGGGGCTTAGGGCTGAAGACTTGAGGCTGGGGGTTACGCTTTAAGGCCAGGCCTCACACTTCCCTGACTCTCTTGTGGGTTGTTGTTAAGACCAACTGCAGGAGAGAAGTTTCCAGTGGGAGGAGTTTACATAAGGCCATCAGCATAAAGAATCTCGGAGAAAAGAATGCCATCAATTGGCTCTTGCTGCCTTCTGCTAATGAGTTCTTTCTTGATATCTTGAAAAAGAGCACCCACAAGGGGCACAAATAAATAAGGACTTAAAGGGCATCCTTGTCTCATTCCTGCCTCTTGCTCTCTCCATGTAGATTCAATGGAGTCTAGTTGCACCTTAAATTGAAGGTTCTCATAAAATGAGAACCCACATAAGGTGTATACCAGGGGTATATAACGCTTCTGTTGGGAAACTACATGGTAACTGCTCTCCTGTAATCGCCCCGGATGCTGTCAAGGACGTTCAACTAACTAAGTTACTACATTCAGCAAACCACAGCAATCACCGTATATCTCTACTGTGGGAACTTAGTTCAACTTTCTTGACAGCAGCAACCCAGGTTGTGGCAGGTGTTTAGAGTTTGCAGGTTTGGGAAGTTTAAGTGACTTCTCTCGAAGTTAGCGTAGTGAGGGTCTATGCGCTTCCTCATACCGTGAGAGACCTCTGGTTTGCCCATGAACTTGGGGTTTAGGGTCCGAACGGCTCGGTGAGGGCTAGGAAGACACGATTTCTCGCACACGCACATTCGCGCACAAGCAACAACTGCCTGGTTTTATTGTGCTGTACATGACAGGTATGTCTGGGGCTCTAAGTCTGAAAGCCATAACTGCTTTGGACTCTAGAGTCTAAACGCAATACTTGCTTCGGGCTATTTAGAACCCTAACCCTGGGGCTCCATGTCTATAAATAATGCCTACATTGGGCCCCAATGTCTATAAATATTACCTACATTGGGCTATTTGGATCCCTAGGGTAAGGTTAATGACCCTAAACCCTAAACCCTAAACCCTAACCTATTTGGATCCCTAGGGTAAGGTTAATGAGAATGGCTCTGACTCGCATTCTCCCTTTCGCGTCGGTCTCATTCAATATTTGGGAAATTTCCCAAAATTAGGGGTACCTTTTTAGGGATCCTTATAATAAGGACTATAGTATATTGGGGTCTATATTGGGGCTCCCCTATTTTGGGAAAGTACCATTTAGTGTTTCACAGCTAGTGTCTTCAGGCAAGTATCCCTCTTTTGGTAACAGTGCTCCCTCCCTTGTCGGTGTCCTGCACCCTCTGCTCCGAACTTGTGGGGGCAAGCAAAAGCTTATGCCTCTAAAATGCCTTGACCCTAAACCGGTGAATCCGAGCGGCATGTCGCTCATGGCAACTTTACTAGCCTAATGTTTGCCATAAGTAGGACCAACTACAGGAGGGATATTTCCAGTGTGGGGAGTTTATATAATGGGTATATAGGGTCCGTGGGGAGTTATGTAAGGGGTATGTGAGGCTGATGTAAGGTCCTTAGATGGTAACTCCCCTCCTGTAATTGCCTTAGACATAACTACTGGTCTGGAGTCTGAGGGTCTAAGCAGGCTCTTCCCGACTGACACGCAGCAGGCCCCCCTCGAGGGCTTTAGGATTTAGGGTACGCGCTTGTTATCCCTTGGCACCTCGAAGACTTTAATTCAAGTTTGTACCCTTCATGTTTGTAACCCTGGGTCATGGATCCCAAATACTCTTACTAAGGGCCATATTGCGGGGTTTAGGGACCCAAGCCCGAGGGTACAAACTCTAAGGGCACTAAGGAAAGCACCCTGAAACCCATCTCAGTATCTCGGAACTTCCCCTACACATTCCGAAAGGGGACCCATTTTCACATTGTCATACTGCTGATACTGAAAGTCCTGCATGACTTGAGTGTACTATAATAAGACAATTCCCAATCATAAGGTACTTACTGGGTTGCTGTTAAGGAACTGAAATTAAGTGACAATAATGGATGTATATATATATAATACTTAATCTGGTTTCGCCAATATAGTAACCTATCCACCGTAGTTACAGGGTCCCCAGGCTATTTGAGACACTCCCAAACCCCTAAAGATTTAAACCGCCAAGTCACAGTGCATCCTGGGCAACCTGTTGCAACACCAAAGGCTTTAGGGTTTAGGGCTTCGGGTTTAGGTTTTAGGTTTTGAGCTGCGTGAACGCAGGAACCGTTTAGGGCTTGGGGTGGGTGACCGTGCCGCTTGGTTCTACAGAGCCAGCTGCAGACACTGAGCAAGGGTTCAAACTCTTGATTGGTCTGCCTTCTGCTTAACCCTATCTTTGCATGATTTTTTATGGCAGCGTCCAAATAAAAACTCTGTCTTCCTTATGCAATGGTACTAATAGCAGTGATATTGTGGATGATACTCATAATGTTGAACGTGCCCTGCATCCTAGCGACGTGAGAACGCCCGTTTCTACCCTGAACCTCAAACCCGAGACCCCCATTTGACCCAAAGGGTTCGAGTACCCAAGAATTGGATTCTTAAAGTTTAGGTGATGGGAGTTGTAGTACAGATTTAGGGTAAGTAGATGCTTCTTAAGTCCTTGCACCTTTAGGGTTACTGCTGTAGGACAGGCGGGAATGAGCCCAGTGCAACCTGGATGATTTTCGAGACAGCTAGCTTGTTCGATGCAACTGTGTCCGTTTCGAAGTGGATTTAAGTATATAGCTTCCCTGCTTACAATTGTGTTCAGTTCAAACTGCCTTGTGAATACACCCTGAATATACTAATAAGCGGAATTACAGCAAAATCATAACATCGTAAGAATAAAGCATAAAACTAATCATAATGGCGTACTCCGAGACCAAAACCTTGAACCTCGCAGCGTAGCCTGACCGCGAGTCGTAAATCTTGACTCTTAAGCCAAAATCCTAGGCCCTAGGGTTTAGAGTTTGGGGTTTAGGGTACCCAAAACCTCCTATGTAGCTCCTTTTGGGCTTGTTATGGTTTTTGCTAAGGCAGTTTAGTATGCTCCCCAAATCAGAACTACATAAGAGGTTCTGTTTAAGCCCTAAACCTTGAACCCAAAAAACCCTGAACCCCAGGCCCCGCACACCTGTACCCCAAACCCTAAACCCTAAACCCTAAACCCTAAACCCCATACCCGGACCCAGAGCCCAGAATCCGATGAGTTGTTTGTTATAAAGTTCTACAGGGGTTGTACAGGGGTGTCGGCGATAATGGAAAAGAAAATGGAAAATACAATTTAAGGTCTAGGGTTGAAGGGTTTTAGGGTCTAGGGCTAGACCTTCCATGACTTCCATGTACCCAGAATTATGGCCAAAATGCCCAGTATTTGTTAACGGCTATGATCACAGGTATTTGGTAGGTCTCGGAGACTAGGTCAACCCTAAACCCTCAAGAATAGGGTCTTTTTGGTGGTTAAACCCATTAAGATTATATTCCCTATATAAGATACTATACCCCAAAAGGAAGATATAATGTACTGTATATTGGGTACCATAGTATCCCCAAATAAGATACTACCCTCAAGAGCCTGTGCGCCTGGAGCCACTTCCGCACGTCGCCTTCGCCCACACATCCCACGGCCGCAGCAAGCGCCTTGGTTGCCACCTCCTGGAATCAAGAGCTGAGTTTCCAAGGTTTGACATTTATAGTCCCCCTTGAGTAGATAGAATATGTGGTCTATGGGCATCCTACCATAATATACCCAAAGCCATATTTTATCTACTTAAGGGGGACTATAGCTCTGTGGGGAGTGGAATTTAGGTCTTTCAGTTTTGCATTATCGGCTTATACTGGTTAATTAGGAGAAGCAATGGAACATTGAATGGCAGGACTGGGTATTCCTTAGTTGGGGGTGTATTGGGCTTTCTGGACTTTGCAATTGGTTCTCTGATGCGCCTCAGCCCCATCACAGAGCGATCGCAGACGGGCAAGGGACCGACGCCGCTTCCCGCGGGAAAGGAAACCTCGCGGGGTTACGGTTCAAAGTTAAGGCCCACGTGTTAGAACGTGGAAGTAGAATGACTGGTCCTAACTTTCCCTCCTCCCCTATGTCCGAACCCTAAACCCTAAACCCTCAGCCCTAAACCCTGAGCCCTAAACCCCAAGGGTTTAGGGTGAGGGGCCGGGCATTCAAACTTCCTGGCTTCAACGGTGGAGGACATAAGTTTGTGAGATGGGGCTTGGCAGATAAGAGATCCTTGGTTTAGGGCTTAGGGTCCTAAACCCTAAACCATGGTCACAACATTAGGGAATCTGGTATATTGGAGTTGATATAGGGGCCCCCACATGCTGGAAACTGCCAGATGAGCGTAGTCATAAACACACTTCGAAGACCGCTGAGACAGGAAGCTGAAAAGATGAAACCCTAAACCCCAAACCTCCAACCCTTGGTAAACACTGAACCCTAAATACTACCGCATAAATGCACTCGCATCACATGGCTTACCATCCCAACCTTTAAGATTTTTTTCTTAGAGTTTTGGGCTCCAGACTTAGGATCTTAAGGGTATAGGGTTTGGGCTCATTAGGGTTGAGGGGTTAAGTTTTTGGCTTAAGGCTTCGGGTTTAGGGTTTGGGTTCGTTAGCTTAGGGCTTAAGGCTTAAGCTTAAAGTTTAGGGATTAAGGCTTAGGGTTAAGAGGTTGGGTACTTTAGACTTTGGGGCTTAAGGTTTGGGCGTTGGGGCTTGGGTTCGTCAGGGTTTCCGGCTTAGAGCTTAGGGCTAAAGGCTTGGGGTTGAGAGTTTAGGGCTTTGGGTTTACTGCTTGGGTTGTGGGACTAGAGCTTGGGGACTATGACCGGGCCGGAGCAAACCGGGCCTCCGAATGCCTAGGCCCTTCCGTCTCAGCTTAATGAGGTACAAGCCGGTTTAGGGTTTAGGGTCTAGGGTTTGGGGTTTAGGGTGTAGGGTTTAGGGTTAAGGGTTTAGGGTCTAGGTTATGGACAGAATAAGTGACAGAAGATGGTGGTTGAAGGAAATAAGATATATCATCTTCTTGCCAGAAACTTCCATACCCAAAGGAGGTTGTGATCCTAGCGCTATGGAAATGCACCCGGGGATGCCCATCCCTGTATGACCCCCAGAGTCCTCGCATCATTGTGCTTAGGGTTTCGGGTCTAGGCTTAAGGCTTCCGGGTTAGGGTTCAGGGTTTCAGGTCTAGGGTTTTGGGGCTTAGGGAAAAGCATGCCAGAAAACACCCAAGCCCGAACCCTCCAAACCGGGCTGGAAGGTCGGAAAACTCCAAAGCCCTAAGCTATTGTCCCCCTTAACTAGATAGAATATGGGGTATATGGGGATCTCATTAATAGACCCAAAGTCATATTCTATCTACTTCAGGGGGACTTCAGCTTTGAACCCTGAATGAACTCAAAACCCTACCTAGGCCTCCCAATTACCTGTAGTTACCTGGTCTATAACGGCATGTAGGCTGCTGTTATGGGTTTTTTGGGGAGGCCTAGGTGAACCCCAGGCCCCAGCCACAACCACGCCTCGGGCGGAGGTAGCGGAAACTGGTTCTTCCTGACGGCTTACACTACTACTGTTGATACTACAAATCCTGCATGACCTTACTATACTGTAGTACCATAGTTCTCAAGCTATGAGGCACCTAGGGTCATGCAGGATTTCTAGTATCCAGCGTACCACTACCCCTCCCCCCTATACTTTGGTACTGCCTCCCCACCCTGCATCAGTTTATATCAGGGGTCATATCAAGGGCTATGTATTTCTGTAATTGCGTTAGGAATCATGGGCATCTCACTTTTACAGAGTGCGGCTGTGCCCAACCTATACTAGCTACCCACCTTAGACTCTGAGGCCTAATGGAGGCTACTCAAGGGCGAGCCTTAAGGTGGGGTAGCTATGGGGTGCTTAGGGCAACCCATGAGCTCTGGGTGCGCCTCAAATCACGTTTTTCGTTTTAGGGTTTTGGGACGCAAGGCCCTACAGCCTATAGAGTTCTAGATACAGTCCCCTTTAAGTAGATAGAATATGGCTTTGGGTATATGATAATAAGATCCCTATATACCCCATATTCAGATTCTATCTAGTTAAGGGGGACTATGAGTCACCCTTTCCTGGAGGGTCTAGAATATGGAAAATGAGGATGGCTAATATTGCATCATCCAGCAAAGGTTGTAACAGAGTTGGTTTATCGCAAGCACTATAGTCCCCCTGGACCTATAAAACATAGTATTGTTCGACAATACTTCCTTAGGGGTATAGTACAATAGAAAATTCAACGAAATTCCCAAGGAGACTACAGAGCCTGTGTGGCTGTAAGTCTGGCAAGTGTCTATCTTGTTTTTGCAACGGCTTCAGCAAAATCTAGAAACGTGTTCGTTATCAGGACGAATCCGCAGGACGGCAGAGAACACATTCCCTGCATGATCCCTGTACAATAAGCCCCCGACCCTAAACCCTAAACCTGTAATCTACGTCAGAAGTCCTGGGCTGCGTCCGCAATGGCGTCACTGGTGTTGGAGGAATTCTCACCAAACACCTCAGCTGAGGACCAGAGTTTTTACTGTCAGAGAGCTAGAATCCCTTTACTGTACACTTCCCCAAAACGTGGGCCGCTACAAGTAGTGCTTCACTACTCCCAGGTCACTCAAGTTCAGCCAGATAGGAACTTGCTTATGGTTCGGTGCTGGGTTTATTTAGGCTTCTGGGTTTAGGGTTGCATTCTAGTCCCCCCAGAGCAGCACAAGCAACTCAGCCAGAACATCCACCTCAAGCCCTCTGCTTTCAAGAAAGGCACGGGTTGCATCTCCACCGGTTCCGCCTGACTGCTCTCCAGCTTCGCTGGTGCCAGGTGCGCCTCGCTGCTAACAGAGATGTGTTGAAGAATAATGAGAATACTATTTGCTAGTTATGAGAGTAGTAATACCAACAAGGATAACAAGCATACAAATAATAGTATAGGAGTCACAATACTAGCAATGATCAAGGCAACATGCATCACACGGAACCTTAAACTCCAAACCTTAAATCCTGAAGCCCCAACCCAACCCATCGGCACAGTTTTCCTCTTGAAGTAATATACTCTAATCTTCGACCAACCACTTTATCAAACCCAATAGGGAACTACATAGGAGCCCATGGGTAAACCTGCCCGGAACGAATCAGAGAGGGATGGCACCACCAGGGTTCACCCTAAACCCTAAAGTGGAAACAATGAAGGAAGCCCTCAGGTTGATTTCTATGATCTTCAGAGTACACACTGAAATGCAATCTTTCCTATCGTTTCTGGTTATTATTTGGGTTATATTGGATTTTTTTATGGGGATAATGGAAAAGAACATGGAAACAACTATAATGGGTTATATAGGGTTGACATGTTGGGTTTGAAAGATGCAATTGCCGGTGCCACTCTCTCCTCCTCAAGAGAAATGCTTCTAGGCAAGGCGTTGCATTGTAAATACCCAGAGCCCCTAAAGGATCCAAAAATGGAACCCCCTAATAATCCCCTAGTTTCCCCAATGTAGTAATTGGTTCGTATTGGGGGGGGGTTCAATTTTTTGGATCCTNNATCCTTTAGGGGGTCTGGGTAAAAGGGCTACAACAAGGTGCCTTTAAGTTTGAGACTCGCTGAATGAATGACTGAGCTATAACGGGCAAACTGGGTGCCGTGACCGAGCTCAACAGTTGGCTGGCTGCTTGGGATTCTGGTGCGTGACGGTAGTCAGAAAACAAAGGTAGCGGTGGCAGCTGTAGTATGCAGATCTTTGCAATGGGATTTGTAATAGATATTTGCGAAAGTATAGACCCCTGCGCAACACCCCTCTTATTCTAAACCCTGCATGACCTTCGGGACAACCTAGTCTACAGAGGTTACTGCTAACCTGGAGCTGAGCTTCAAGAGGTCGGTACCTTGCCTCCCGAAAAGAAGAATGGCCCATCAGTTCGGGCGTCACTAGAAGATCTCCAATTTAATGCACTGGGCAGAAATCGCAATGAGTCCTGGGACCACGAACCTATATCAAGTGCGAAGCAACCTATCAAAGACCCTCGACCCTTAATGTTCACGTGACATTAATACCCCCCCCCCCCNNCCCCAGATCTTGTTTTGCGATTCGGGCTTATGGAAGGGGGGGTGGTCGCAATAATAAATGACGGTGGTGGCGGTAGGCTAGGTAGTGCAGCTCGTAGTACCAGTAGTACAAGTAAAAGGAAATCTAATAAAATCGGGATATTTCTGGCCGGAACAATATATTATTGCCACCCCTTTATTATTGCGATTTGGACCTAAGTAGACCTTGTTGGGCTCAAAACTTGTTAGACAGCAAATTTGCTTGTACAGGATTTTTCCGGCCCAGCAACTCAATGCTAGTGTCACCCCCTTTATTAATGCTATGTGAACATTACTTGAACCCCATAAAGAGCGCTTCAACGACTTTCGCCCTTAAAAAAAAAACAACCTACGTATGTAGATTTCCATGGGTGTCTCTCAAACGTGCCTCTACAAAATTCTAAACCCGAAACCCTAAACCCAAAGCCCTGCAGGGGACCCCCATCCCACTGTGGTCCACATCTGTCCCCTGAACGCCCTGGGTCCCCGGTATAGAGAAGCTCCTCATACTTGTGAAAGTAGGATAGCAAAGTCACCTGCTCAGACCCTGTAGCCATAGTAAACACAAGCTCATATGGCGATTTCTCACACGTCTGGATGATTCTTTGACTTTTGAACAGGTTATAAGAAGTCTCCCCGCTTTTGAAAGTGCATGATGGCGACGCTCAGCTTGACAACCTCTTGCATGCAAGCAGGGGCCCCAGTATGGACCTCAAAAGACTATAAACTCTAACCCCTATAATGGGGACTCCCCGTAACGGCTTCCTGCTTGTCTCGAAGCCCCCAGAAGCTTGCGCGCCTGCAGCCACTTCTGTGCGTCGCCTCTGGGCAGCTCAAGCACTGCAGCAACAGGAGGCGTGTCCTGGGCGTCCTCCTGGGTTTGAGGGTTCGGGTGATTGATTGCCGTGTGCAAGTTTTAGGAGTGTCGGAGGGTGCTAAAGATTGCAGTGAAGGCAGTAGGGATTAGAGTTGAGGTTTCTGGGGCTTAAGGGTTTAGGGGATCGAGGGTTGCTTGCTGGTTCAGCCCATACTTGCATGAAGTAGGGAAGGGCTCAAATGATTCCAGCTACATGACACTTCTATTCAACAAGTTCTTGCGGTAGATGTTGATCCTCTCCCCTATCTTCAATACTCACACCCCCCTAATATTTAATCTTCCCTATATTCTATCCACACACCCATGATAGCGGCCTGCAAACCCTTTTCTGTTGTTAACGGAGGTCGCGGCAACCCTCCACCCTGGATGCAGAAACCCAAGTCCTGAGTCCTAAACCCTGAACCCTACCTAGAAAGCCTAGTTACCCACAATAATGGGCTACTTTAACCCAAAGTAATAGGAAATTAGGGGAAAGTTGCCTCTAATTATGGGTAACTGGCTTTCTAGGTAATCCAGAAGCTCTAAGCCCTAGAGATCCTTCGGAAGCACGGGCGGCGCGCTCATTGTGAGTTCGCCCTGGCGGGGGTTCGGCTCCCTGTGACTCGGGAGGGGGGGGGGGGGGA